AGTTCTCAACCTGTGGGTTGCGACCCTTTGGGGGTCGAACGACCCTTTCACAGGGGTCGCCTAAAACCATCGGAAAACACATATATAATTACATATTGTTTTTGTGATTCATCACTATGCTTTAATTATGTTCAATTTGTCACAATGAAATTGGGGGTCACCACAACATGAGGAACTGTATTAAAGGGTCGCGGCATTAGGAAGGTTGAGACCCACTGCTCTAGTAGTTACTATAAAGTGCACAGTCTTCAGTGTGCAGCTTAGTGAATATATGTACACCCAAACCCATCGCATTTTGAATGTCACCTGATGCTTTCTCTTCTCAGTGGAGGCCTCTGGGCATTGTTGTCACGGCCTTTTCTGTGATCCAATAGATGCCCACAAATCGGGCACAGAGAGCCGATTCTCCTGCATCTTGGGCATGTGAACATTTTGGGGAAATAAAAAGCAAAAGGTTTTTAAAATACCATGCTTTTATTCTTCTCTGCCACAATTTTTATACCTCGTCTTTGACATAGGAGAATTGGCCTTATGTTCATTTGTTTATTTTAAGAAATAGAAAATCTGATTATCACTTGGTTACTTCTTTAATTTGACATGATTACCCATCATATTGCCTCATAGAGAAAGCAGAACTCATAGTAGGTAAACATTCACAAATTTTTACCAAAACCTTTTGGCTGCTTTTCTTACAGATACGAGATCCTCACTCCAAATGCTATTCCTAAAGGCTTTATGGATGGCAAACAGGCTTGTGAACGAATGGTAAGCTTTTCTTGATTTTCCTGCTTTGTGGACTATTGATATAATCTTTTCCGACAGCAAAAAATAAATGAACTCTTTTGCTTTTAGATCCGGGCTTTAGAATTAGACCCAAACTTGTACAGAATTGGACAGAGCAAGATATTTTTCCGAGCTGGAGTTTTGGCACATTTAGAGGAAGAACGGGATTTAAAAATTACCGACATCATTATCTTCTTCCAGGCCGTTTGCAGAGGTTACCTAGCGAGAAAGTAAGTGGACAATCATAAAGGGGGTGGGAGGTGTCTCTTCTGTGACAGATCAAAAGAAGGACATAGTTAATAAAGCAGGACTACAGACCGCCAGCCAGGGAACCGGAGGGACCCTGTCGCACTGTCGGCATTGCCTCAGACCCTCAGTGTGGGACGTGGTAAATGGCAGCCACTGTCAGGCAGCATCTCTGAAGAAAGGGGAGGGTGTCCGTGATTCGTGCCTGAGGCTGGCTGGGCAGCTCATGAACTGACCTGGGCTCCAGCAGCAGCCGGTTCCCATGGTGTCACTGAGGGTTTGATTTGATACATGGACCCACTCTGTGTCTTAGCCAAATAAGAATGGTTGCCTTTAGGAAGTGGTCTCATGACAACTGCCGTTAAGACATGCTTTTCTATACATGACGAGTTTTTCCTGCTGTCCTCCAGGGCCTTTGCCAAGAAGCAGCAGCAGCTCAGCGCCCTGAAGGTCCTGCAGCGGAACTGCGCCGCGTACCTGAAGCTGCGGCACTGGCAGTGGTGGCGCGTCTTCACGAAGGTGGGCTGCGGGCTCTCCAGGGAGCAGCAATCGCCCAGGGACCACCCTCCGGCAGGAGAGGTGATGATAAACTGCTTAATTTTGTCACAGGTGAAGCCGCTCCTGCAAGTCACTCGCCAAGAGGAAGAACTTCAGGCCAAAGATGAAGAGCTGCTGAAGGTGAAGGAGAAGCAGACCAAGGTGGAAGGGGAGCTGGAGGAGATGGAGAGGAAGCACCAGCAGGTGTGTGCGCTGGCTTCTTACAGGGGCACACGTCCCAGCTGACGTGAGCGCCCCCACTGGCAGGAACTCACACACGTTTCATTGTGGTTGCTGTACCCGCATACCATCTTAGTTGATGCGTATCTTTCACTCCTTTCCAAAGCGTAGGCATTCGAGAACAGACAACACATCCGTTATGCCGTGCATTTGTCTTTATATGAACCAAAGTCAGCCTTGCCTCTTGCATTTTGTCTTTGTCGTATTTGGACACACAGATGAGCATGTCTGCTTATCAGACATGTATTTGCACCTGTTTTCAATGAGACTCCCAGTGTTATCACCGTCCTGTCACTGCTCATGGGGGAAATAGAAAAAGGTGAAAGGATGAGATGGTGCAAGGTCACCACCTGCCTCTTCGCAGTGACAGTGGTCTCCAGTCCATGTCCCTTCCCAGGCAGTGGTGCTTCATGACAAATAGAGGCTCAAGAACTGTTTATAGATGACAGTGATAGAACTGGAGTGGTCAAGGCCAAAAAGATTAATAATAAAGTCACTTGATACCACACAGCTTTCGCAGTCACCATAAACTTTATTACATTTGAGTGTTTTCCCTCTCCTGTTTTTCTGTCCCTTCATAAATTATCTTAATAGAAGAATGGGTGTTCTTAAAATAGCATGAGTTTAATATGCTACAACTTGAGACAGCAGAAACAACTAAAGTGTTTTCATCTGG